GAAGCATTGCAGTATATTCTATTTTTCTGCCCACAAAACACTATAGGTAATGATGAGCCCTGTGGACATTAGTGAGACGTATATTAGCTGCTACTTTACTTTTTTTACCTTTAACGAGACTTATAAATCAGTTTATAAATTAAAATAGCTTTCATATTTTCAAACACATTAAGATATATTTGATAGTCCTGGTTTCATAGCTCATATGAATACCTATATGTAAATGTACAGACTATTGCGGAAAAATACTTACTTACTAATTAAAGAAAGCCGGTTTTACTTAAACAAAGGTTCATTTTATTTTACTTGTCAATGGCGGTAATCAAACTGATTAAAACTTAAATTTCATGGTACGTAAGCATTATTATATATTTTAGCATATATTTGAATTGCAATTTGGAATGTCAATTTACCACTTTTTTGGCGGAATTGCGCAGCGAAGACTTTTGGCCAAAAACTTGGCGGCCTGTGCCCAATAGTAACATGTATGTAAGCTGCTACTTTTTTACTTTTCATGGAGCAATAGTATATGCAGTGTTTATTTCATTCATATTTTCGAGTATGTTAATTTTTTGTTTTCACTCTACCGTAAATATTAAGGGTTGCAAAAATGAGTAGAACTCATTATTGTCAGCCTATCAAAAGTCGAAGCCGCGGGTAAAAAGCTAGTTTAATAATATATAACAATCAATCATCTTTGAAATTAATAACACAAAATATAAGAAGCTTAAAACGTAATATACCACACTTCCAAACCAGATCATTATAGCATAATCCTTAGCCTAAATTGGACATGTAAAAATAATTTTCATTACAAAACTATTAATCAAATTGACTATAAGGCCTTAGATTTAACTTTTAATGAATTAGATTTTAAACCTGTATACTTAATGCCAAATGTAAATGATGCAGTTACGTTTTTAATCAATACACTTAATCTAGCTATTGAAAAATGTACTAAACATAACGGTCTCGAAACGTAAACGAACTATATAAACCTTGGATAACTCGTGGCTTGCTAAAATGCATGAAAAATAGGGACAATTTACATATTAAATCAAGAAACCATCCTAATGACACAATTCTTCGAACAACCTACACTAGATATAGGAATTTTTGTAATAACATACTAAAGAAGGTAAAACAAGAATATGAAAAGGCGGAAATTTGTAAAGCTAAATCTAATAGCAAAAAACTGTGGGAAATAATAAAGAACATAACTCACACGACTAAAATCAAAGCTCCAGCTACAGAACTTATTTCTAATGATCCTAGGAGGTCGGTTAATTATATAAATGTGTATTTTGTAAACATAGGAAAGAATATAGCTGAGTCTATTAAGAACTGCTCGACAGAATATCCTTGGGCATACCAGACATATCATCTAGTCACTCATTTGCATTCCTTCCGGTAGATGACTCTGAAGTCGAAACAATTATGATATAATAAGGCTTAAAAATAACTGTACGGGACGGGAGAATATTGCAAGTTCTCTTATGAAACGATACAAAAATATCCTAACACCTATACTCACATATGTTTGTAATATATCTCTAAATACTGGAGTATTTCCTCACGAATTCAAACGTTCAATGATTCACCCTATTCATAAAAGCGGAAATAGAGACTGTGTCGATAATTATCGGCCCATTTCTATACTGCCAGTATTTTAGAAAATCTTGGAAAAAGTAGTAAATAATAGACTGGTCAGTATCTTGAATCAAAAAGTCTCTTATCACATGCACAATTTGGTTTTAGAAATGGCAAAGCTACAAGTGATGCAGTACATGAATTCTTAAGTTATACCGTTAAACATATGGACGACAAGAAAAAAGTTATAGCAGTATTTCTTGATTTGGCTAGGGCATTTGACACGGTCTCTATTCCACTCTTAATTCACAAATTGTACAAGATAGGTGTCAGAGGATTACAATTGAAGTTTTTTGAAAGTTATCTCACTAACCGATCGCAATGTGTCAAAATAGGAAATTGGATAATTGATGATCTTCCCGTCTCCCATGGCGTACCACAAGGTAATATTTTGGGTCCTACCCTGTTTTTGACCTATATAAACAGCATGTGCCAGACAATATTGATGAATGGGACGCTCGTTTCTTATGCCGATGATACTGCCCTTTTATTCAGCGGTGATACATGGGAAGAAGTATACCTGAATGCTCAAAAAGGTTTCAATTTAATTGTGAACTGGCTAACACATAATAAACTAATGCTTAATGTCTCTAAAACAAAATATATGTCATTTATATTTAAAAAAATTAACACTCCTATTTCTCCTAATTTCCATATAAAAGCACATATCTGTCAAAATTATAATGATGTTATTAACTGTTCTTGCCCTTCGCTCCAAAAAGTAAATGAAATAAAGTATTTAGGTATAATAATTGATAGCAACCTGAATTTTCAAGCACACATTAATCTTCTAACTAATACATTACGTACAATGATCTATATTTTTAAAAATATTCGACATGTGGCAGGTGAAAAAATAATAAAATCAACCTACTTGTCACTTTGCCAATCATTAATTGTCTACTGCATAACAGCTTGGGGTGGTACTTCCAAAACACATCTACTTAAATTAGAACGTGCCCAACGAGCACTTCTGAAGGTGAGTCACTATCTTCCATTTCTCTATCCCACTAAAGAGCTATACCAAAACTGTAAAGTTCTCACAGTCCGCCAATTATTTATTTTACACACTATTATGAAACAATATTCTCTGACATATTACGATCCTTATCGTCTAACAAATAAAAGAAACAAAAGTAAAATTTGTCCTATCGCACCATACAAAAGTAGCTATACACATAACTTCTTCTGCTTTTATGTTCTCATCTATACAACAAAATTAATTCCATTTTATCCATATATAAATTTCCCAAATTTAAATGCAAAAAGATAGTAACCTTATGGCTATTAAGTCAAGATTATGAAACGACTGAGGAATTACTTAAAATCATGAAATAAATCCCAAACGCTGCACACACACACGCACGCGCACAAGCCCGCGCACGCGCACGTGCACACATACACGCACGCACGCACGCACGCACGCACGCACGCACACACGTACGCGCGCACGCGCACGCTAGCGCACGCACGCGCACACGCACACGCACACGCACACGCACACGCACACGCACACGCACACGCACACGCACACACACACGCACGCGCACAAGCCCGCGCACGCGCACGTGCACACATACACGCACGCACGCACGCACGCACGCACGCACGCACACACGTACGCGCGCACGCGCACGCTCGCGCAAGCACGCGCACACGCACACGCACACGCACACGCACACGCACACGCACACGCACACGCACACGCACACACACTCGCACACGCACACGCACACGCACAAGAACACCAACAAGAACATGCACACGCACACGCACACGCAAACGCACGCGCACGCGCACGCGCGCACAAACACGCACTCACGCACTCGCGCACTCAAGCACTTGTGCGTGCACGCACTCGCACACACACACACACACACACACACACACACACACACACACACACACACACACACACACACACACATCCACACATCCACACACATACACACACACACACCCACACACACACATACATAAAATCTGTCAAAATTCCATGTACCAGTAATACATTTATAGTGTAGTAATAACAAAAGGTGGTATACATACAGAAAAATAAAATAAATTGTGTGTGTGTGTGTGTGTGCGCGTGTGTGTGTGCGTGTGTGTGAGAGAGAGAGTGGATGCGTGCATGCGTACGTGAGTGAGTGAGTACGTGCGTGCGTTTGTGTGTGCATGTGCGGTGCTAGCATTGAGAGTGTAAGAACCATACCATTTATGCCTATTTGCTGGATTTTTGTGCTGAAATCAGAAACTTTTTTAATAAAGTTTTGCAAGTGGCAACTGATGTACTATTTCTGATCGGTGGGGGTATGTCATTCCAGCACTTAGTGGCAGCAAAGCGGAAACTGCCACGGAAGGCAGCTGTGTGATGCTTAGGGTATGTAAGTCGTGATGCTGTCCTAAACGCACGCTGCGAGAAAATGAGCTTTCGGTACAAGTATGATGGTTCCCTGGTATTTATTACTCCAAAAAGCAATGACGCAAGGTGGAGAGTACGTCTAGCGCCCATACTCATCAGGTCGTATCGATTTAAAAATGGGGTTATATGTGATCTCTTAGGAATTGTGAAGCAGAAATGTGCACAGGCGTTTTGAACTCTTTGTATTAATCTTTTGGTTCTAGCGAGCAAACACTCACCAAATACTGTATCCACATAAGTTAGCTTCGACAGAATAAGTGCTTCACACAACCTAATGCGCATCTCCAATGTCAAATACTCTTTTATCTGGTACAAGACTTTGAGTCTACAGAAACAGTTACGTGGTTTCTTGTACATGACCCTCAAAACGTAACCTTCCATCCATAACGAGACCTAAGTTCCCCTACCTAAGTTAAGAGATGGAAGAGTATTAGTCCTTTCTCGAGGAGGGGCCGCTATGAGGCGACTGGCGCTGGTGGGGCCGCGGATGTGTGCGAAAGCGTTCCCGTGGCCCTGCCAATATGCGGCGAAGGTGGAACACCACGGCATTTTAGTCGGTGCGAGTGCGAAATAACCCGTCTTTGGCCCTCGCGAAGTGGGTATGCGTAGTCATCATTTAAGTTTTATAAAACATGTGTTTGTTGACTTTGTTATACTTTATTTAAACATGTTTACAATAATAGATGTAATCTATTATTAATCGATTATACCTTTTAAGCATCGATTATCAAAATATCGAATCGGCACATCATTAGTACATCACTAAACTGAACTTAATATAAAAATAATGACAAACATCAAAGGCTCCAACTAATGCCATCTTCCTGCAACACGCCACAGTTGTAGCTGGAGCTAAGCGTACGAGAAGTCAAGTTGAAGGCGTGTGAATAGCGATGTGATAAAAGAGCGTGGGCGCAGCGCGCGCCGCCAGTACTAAGTCCACCTGCACGCCGAGCGCAGGCGCACTATCCGCGACGAAAACCTAAATTCGCGCACCTCGCTTACTCTCGCAACCTTAGCGCCCCCACATAAGTTTTTTTCGGACTACACTGGACATTCTATGTTCACTGTCGGATAGTGTCTGTGCTCTGAACTGGTGGCTACCCTCAGGAGAGGAAAATCGAAGATCAACTATATAAGCAGTATCGAGCTCTCGAGTCAACCCGTCCTCAGGTGAGACTATAATGATGATTTCAACTATAATTATGAAATCAGCGTGTGCTATATGAATCATGTGATAAAGGGAATTGATTTGTTTTACAACAGTTTAAATTAAATGGAAACAAATGATTATGGATTAAATTTCATTTGAATATCACCAATTAAAAACCTTTAAATCTTTTATTATAAATATATTGCCTTTTTAATATACGAGTATATTAATTATTTTACATTAAGTTTATTACGCAAATATCATAAGCTAACATTAAACGTAAACAAGGAAAATCTTTAAGTAATGTATTATGATTTACATGATAGTGAAAATTATTATATCACGAAGCATTTAAAACTACAGTTGTAAATAATAGTATAAGAAAAAACTAAATACGTTAATATCCTACCTACTTACCGGCTATATTGTATTTTTTTTAATTCTTTTACATAAAACAGACTAAGGGCACTAATCTAAGGTCGATCGCTACATACATATTGACTGTACATAAACTTTGCTATGTAGAGTCAATATGTAAAAATGTAAGTATATGCTCTACGAGGAAATAAACAAAGCAAATATAATTTTTAACTATGATCGGTATGTTAAACATGACTATGCTAAATAGCATTAATAAAACGTTTGTCAACACTCCGACGGCATCTTGTCATACAATAATACAAGTAGAACTGCGAAGTGCAACGTCGTTTGCGAAATCGATCGATTCACATCACAGATTCGTTTCGTATTCGATTTTCTTCAGCAGTAGAATGGTTGTTACTAATGGTTAATAGTAGAAAACGTGCAATAAACGCAACAGTCTAAGAAAGGAGCTCGGTTTTGAAGCCAAGGATCCACCAAGGCGTTCTGCAAGCGTTAGTATTCTCGACGCGTGTGGCGGCGCAAAGCGCTGGGACGTGTGACGTAAGGTCACTTCGCGTGGCCACTGACATGACATGAGATTAACTAGCTCTCTAGTAGACACTGTCTCAAAACCCTTTGTGTTATTTAGGGATATATAGCAAAACTAAAAAAAAATATAAAAAATGATTTAAATCAAAATAAAAAATAAAATGGAATATACTCGTACAAGACAAAACCATAAAAATCCAGTAAAATATGTTAAGTCTCTTCTCTTCAAGAAAATTATAACGCCTGTTGTAATTACAATACACGTTTTGTAAGACTTCTTACGCTGGTAAACTCTTGTATCTACAGTCAAAAATCTTTCTCAAAAAATTGTAAATTGTACCACATTTATACTTTCAATTATTTAAATGAAAAAATTATGTGTATATAACTATCCTCATAGCTATCATTGTTTCAATAATTTTCTTATTAATTTATGAATATCTTGGAGATAGGTGTTAATAAATTATCATTAGATACTTCTCTTGTCTTTATATGCTCAATTTAATAATTTTAACAATCAGCATTTGAGAGACAATCATCTATAGACAATAAACTATAAAATATTTCATCCTAAAAAGCAACCTGTCTGGGATTTCCACGAACGTCGCTAATATTTTAAATACATTAGATGGTCAAACTAAATAAGGATAGCTAACATTGGAAATGCCTGAAGGTCAATAAACGAGTTTGAGAGAGCAAAAACGGGGATAATAAGAAAGACTTGATCAACGCGATGCCGATTTTCATTGGTAAGCGACCCTTGACACGGGGCAAAAAATTATCTTATACAGCCAATAGTTGATATTGATTCACCGACACTTGGTATATTAAAAACCAGTTATGCCAATAAAAATTTTATTATTATATTATAAAATACATCTGTTTAACTCGTTAAAGAGCTCTAAATAGCAACGTCACATACTTAAAACTGTCAGCCTTTATCAAATATTCGACATTAGGATTTTCCTAAAATGTAATTTATACTATATCCAAATCACAAAAATTTTCTAAAATACTTCACTATTTATTATGTATACTATAATATGCTATATTACGCATAATGACCAAAAACTTAACTTAAAATTGTATGTATTTCCGGTATCATTATATAAATTACAATTCATTTAATTCGCTATAAAGTAAGCAAGACATGTACTAGCCTCGACTCATAATAAAAAATAGTCGTTTTTATTTGTAAGTATCAGGAAAAACAGGCGTGAGGCACTAACATTACAAATATATCACACCTATGCGAAAATAATGAAGACTAACACGGTAGGTAAACTGATCCATGAATATTCGTTATTAGAGTAATATTATCTATATGGTATGTAATTCAAATTTGAACGCTATTTAGCACCTGCGAATGACTACGTACGTTTTTGCTGCCATTCATTTACACATTTATAAACTGCGACAGCTAAATAATAACTAGACAATTCTAATAAAGTGGATTTACAACAAGACTATTTTTTTTTTTTGGGAAACGAAAAAAGACCCATATACCTACACAATTTCTAAAAATGTTTTTGATTTATTTTTTATATTATAGGGTGACATACAAGCAACCAGTCCACCTGATGGTAAGTGGTTGCTGTGGCCCATGACATCTACATCTATCTTCGTTTGCGAATTGAAATGCAGATGCGTTGTCACCCGTGAGGACTAAGATGGAATGCCTCTTTTCCAGTAAAAAGGGTTTCTAGTTCTCTACACTCACCATACGAAACATAGCTGCGTTAAGCTGCTATTTTACGCTGGTATTCTGCGATAACGTGGTCCTCCTCCGGTCGGGCCGACCTATTCGTGCTATAACTATACTATTAATATAGCTGTAGCATGGCTCTACCACGTAAATAATTTAGCCACTTGCCATAAGGTGGACTGTGTGCTCGTTCGTCACCCTTATACTATGAAAAAAAAAACATAATTATTATTGCAAATAGAAATGATAGCTCGGATCAAGGTGATATTACGAATAGTGTAACCAATCTATACCCATTCAATGTATGGGAGACCTTCAATTTGATAAATGTGAAGTGAAGGATTCGAAGACATTAAGTAAGGATAGTCATTTTATGGTGTATGATGTTAGGGAACACGTCCAATTTGACCTCGCAAGTTCGGCTAACGCCTGTAAATGTTTACATTTGTGCCGGCGACGACTTGCGATGTCTACCAACGGCGCAACGACCAGTGATTAGTTGCAAAATGATCGCGACCGAATTGAGTTCAGGGTCGAGCGTGTTGCCTCCGGGTGTTGCGCAAGCACCACCAGAATGCAGCCGCTCCGCCAACAATAAACAACGTTCCGCGCCTCTGTACGCCCGACCATGAAGGCAACCTCACTAGGTTATGTGACCAAATCTAATCTGGCCGCACCACAGCACGCAAGCACACGAGCAAAACGCCAAACGCATGGAATTTAAATTAACTATAAATAGAATTAAATTCAAATGATACAATTCTAAAATATAGTACTTTAAACTACTCTGGAGACCCGTAGAAGGTTGAATCAAAAGCGTGGGGCACATATTAAAATTCTGCGAGATTCAACAATAACTAAATAAGCAGTTACTCCCGGAAAACTGTCACCTGTAACATTTTAAAAAAAAACTTCAAAATTCAAGTTTTAATTGCAATTGGATCATCATTCTACGTTTTTGTTTTTATTTATTCGATAGGATATGGAATCGTGCAAAAAAAGTAACTTAATATTAACGAAATATTGCATTTATTAGGCTTATGATGTGGATGAATAAATTTTTCATATTCATAGCTTTGATAAATTATATTGGCAAATTTTTTACTTGTAATTTTTCTAATATAAGACTTTTAGGGAATGCCTCAGACATTAAGTCCTATGTACCACAATACAATACTACAAGCTACATAGATTCGTATACATTAGGAATTACATACAAAATTTTAAAAATATTTTAATTTCCTTTTTTTTTAAACTTGCAATCGCAAATACCAAAAATTCCGAGAATTAATACGAAGTATATCAGGGCCTTGATATGAGGAAATTGTTCCTGTACTCGTCGTTATGTACTCGTTAGCAATAAGTGTTTCACGCCCACAAACTTGTCTATTTAACGTCATTAATAAGCCACACTAAATTATGGAATCAAGACTGTATTCATTGTCTTGTAAAGAGAAAAACCGTAGCGAACTATTTATTTCGTTCATGATATGCATTCAAATGTTTAAATCTCTGCTGGTCATATTTTCCAATCTAGGGCTTAGGACAACTTGTATTAATTTTGAAAATAAACTACTTCATTGATCTTATGACAAAGATAAGTCCGTCATCTTATATTACGATTACGCAGACTACTAAGAGGGTACTTATCGCCGAATACGCGACACTTACAATCAGTCACTGCCACATATTGATAAATAGCGCAAAATTATTTCTTAATGATTCTTATCTACAGAATCTATTGAAGTTTTGAAAGCAGCCTATAATTGCAATCAAAATTTCAATCGTATCCTGTAGAAGGCGTGGCGATTTCGTTATAAACCTCATCCTCCTCTGCAATGTTTAGAGAGGCTTAATATTTATGGTCTAATAGAGTGATAATAATTATTCTACTAAATTTTAATATCTTTGGTAAATTAAAAAGAAATCATTTTTTTCATTGATAATTTCATTTAAAATGAAGTCAAGGGCAGCACAAAAATATTCTAACATGCGAAGTATATTAGCCTTATGCCTTTCAATGTTATAAGTTTCATATTTCTAATACATACTTTGGCCGTTTCCGCAGTAGTCATAGATCTAGAACCGCTTAATTTACACCGATTATGTAATAATTACTTGCGAATCATAGTTCTGGAGGTTATGAATACGATCTTTGGTATAATTTTTTTATTTTTACTTGATTCGGTGATGGCGATAAATGGAAAAATATTTCAAGCATCAGGTAAATCTTTTTAAGCTCTAGTAGCTTAAAAATTTCGTGTCAAAAAAACAACAATTCAAATGTGAATAAAACATTTGCTGTAGAGACTTTCGGTCCGTGGTTCTTTTCTCGCTCAAAGACTAAGTATATCCATTCAGCGAACGATTCACGATACCGCGGGGAGTAGGACTATATGATAA